GAAGCAATCAGGGAAAGAGAAGAGATGAGAGCTGTTAGCCTGCTGGCTGCCAGTTCAGTGCAACAGGGATAAATGGGATAAGTAGTTGAAGATAATGTCACAATTCCTATGCACAAGAAAGAATAATTTTACTTTGAAAAATTGGAAATGGTTTAGGAAAGAAGTGAAATATATATATATATATATATGTCTGGAAATCTGCTCCACAGTGAGGCAATTTAAGAAGCTCACCAAAGAGAAGGTTAAAACATGACTTGATCCTGGTTTCTCCCAGGCTCCTAACATTATCAAACAATACTGTAGTGAAAACCAGTGCCCAGGAAATAAAGAAAAACATCTGCATAGAAACACATCACTTTAAAGTGGGAAAATTTCTGCTCACTGGAATAAGGGAGGTGATAGATTACAGCTTTTGAAGTCTTTAAATAAAAATCAGATTTCATATATATTGCTTACCCAGATGTTATGTAATATAAGAATAGTCAGATGAAGTATCATGTCCTGTGCTATACAGAAGTCAAACCTAGGTGGTCATAAGGTGCCTTCTAGTCTTAAAATCCATTCAGGTATTTCTTCAGGTTTCAGTGTCTTAATTTACAAACTTAGTGTTATTTGTGGTTTTATACAATAATTTTAGCAAGTATAAAATAGAAACAAAACAATCCCTTGCATAAGTTCAATGGTAGAGAATCCCATGCCTTTTGTAGCATTTAGATCCAGAACTCTTGGACCATTTCAAGATCTCTCTTGCTGCCATCACAATGTAGGCATCAATACTAAGCTATTGTCCTTTATGTTTAATGGTTACAAAGGAGCTCTGACACACGCATTTTTTCAGGGTGCTACAAAGTTAATAAATATTCCTCAGGGAAATATTAGATGTCAGCATTCTTGGAGTGTATGAAGACAGGCTGAGGAAGTTGGGGCTGTTCAGCCCGGAGAAGAGAAGGCTGCGTGGAGACCTCATAGCAGCCTTCCAGTATCTGAGGATGCTGGGGAGGGACTCTTCGTTAGAGACTGTAGTGAAAGGACAAGGGGTAACAGGTTAAAACTTAAACAGGGGATGTTTAGATTGGACATAAGGAGGAAATTCTTTCCTGTTAGGGTGGTGAGGCACTGGAATAGGTTGCCCAGGGAAGCTGTGAATGCTCCATCCCTGGCGGTGTTCAAGACCAGGTTGGATGAGGCCTTGGGTGATATGATTTAGTGTAAGGTGTCCCTGCCCATGGCAGGGGGTTGGAACTAGATGATCTTGAGGTCCTTTCCAACCCTAACTATTCTATGATTCTTTGATTTAGGGGGAAGATAGCAATAATATCAGTAAGTGTAGCAAACCACAGGAATTTAATACTGTCTGTCTGGGCATTTGGACTTTATGGTTTAGATTTAGATTTGCCATGTTTGCAATCTTTCAGTAAAATGAAGGCAATGAAGGTATTTGGGTATTTGCTTTCTCTGGACAGGGAAGGTAAAAGTTTATTCAGCACTGAACAATTTAAGGGGTACACCTGTATTTTAACAGAAAAGAGATAAGGGAAGATATAAGAAATTACTGCCTAGCTTGAGCCAGCATGAAGTGGGGGGGAGTGAAAAAAGGGTTCATCTAATGATGTGGGAGAGGAGCTGCAAGTTTGCAGTCCCAGTTACATCATTTGATTTGCCTCACACTAGCTACTAGTAATGGGATGTGAGAAAGAGGGCAGGAAATCCTAACAGCTCTTACCTCTGTCTAAATCTATGTCTGCTTTCTTAAGGGTACAGAGAAGTTTTGTTGACTCATATACCTGGTTTCTATCAGTGGAATTATATGCAGCACTGTAGTGACACTTTGCAGTTCAAAGCTTTTTCAGTTTTGTTTGTGGTCCCTCTTCCTGCCTGCCTTCCTAGCCTGATCCCATTGCACATTATGCCAGTTCATCAAAGCATGTATTTTCATGGATGGCATTATTTGTAATTAGTGTGTGGTCAACCTGTTCAACATGCCATAGCTGCAAATATTTTTAGAAAGACACATTTTGCAATCTATGGCAGGATTTAAACTGCATTTCAGACAGGATCTCTGGGTTAAAAAACAACTTCTACTGATTACAAATCAAAATTACACTGATGTGGAAATCATGAAGGCATTCTGCTGTGACTTGGTAGTTAAAGGACATAAAAGATACCTTACAGCAAATCAAATGCAATGCAAGAGGAGAAAAACAAGAAAACTGCCGCTTCCAAATGTGCTCAGGGCTCATTTGAGGGAACCAGAGAGCAATTGTTAGGCTGCTCTGCCCAGCTTGTTGCTAGTTCCCTGGAAGAAGTAGATGTGTCTATCCTGTGTCTTCAATGTTTCTTTGACTACTTTGCATAGAGATAATGAGAGATACCTTGGTGCAGCCCTCTGGACTTTTTGCTCCAAATCAAAGCAGCTTCTTTCTGAAACAGAATGCACTTTCACAGCTAAACAAGCCTCTCCAGGCACACAGCTTTCTGCCAAAATTCCAGCTACTGATTCGTCTCACCCAGTTCCTTTTTTTCCTTCAGAACTTTGAATCATATTTTCATAATTTTATCATTAGGGGGAGTAAATAACTTTCTGAGCAAGCTTCAGACCTTCTGAAGTTCACTCAGAGTTCCTCAGGCTAATGATACTAAGCTAGGGTGGGGGTGGGTTTAGCATCTTCACTTTAATCAAATTGCCTTTTACTGAAAAAATCCTATTTTTTTTTTCTTTTTTTCTTCTTTTTTAAAAATCTTTTTCCTCCTCCCCCCTGCCCCTGGCTCACCCCTGTACACGTTCTAAAAATAGTCTTCAAAATCTGTCTTCAGATGTGTGCACAACAGCTTTCTGGAACTTGTTGGAGATTTGTAGTGGAACTAAAGATGTCACTTTGATACAGGAAGGGAAAGCTGGATAGAATCATTTCAGGCAGAAAGATTATGCAGTAATATCTACAATGATATGGTAGTCTAATATCAGTCTGCTTTTAGCTTTCTAAGCTTTTAATGATAAGAGGCTGTTTTAAATACCTTAACCTGCCTAGGAACGGGATCTGAAAGGATTAAAAATGGTATAAGCCATTAAACTCTCTTTTCCCTGTATCTTCAAAAATCACACTCTCAAGGAAAATTTTAGTATGATTATTTGTGGTTATGGTTTACTGCATATAAATTTCTTATTGAATCTGACTTGCTTCTTCATACCTCCCTAGACCATCTGAAGGGAATCTGTCTGAATGCAACAAATATATATATATTAAAGATTGTGCAAGACAAGTCATTGGTGTAGAAATGTTTGCTGGTCACATTCTGAAAACTGAAAGCTTTGTTTTTCATACAGTTGGATAAGTGGAATGAGTGTCCATTCAACTGTACCAGTAATGAAAACATACAGAAAATATTTCCATTACAGTTGAACTCTGTATGCACTTACGGGGCAAAACTGCATTAAACGAAGTGAAGCATTTCCTAGAATTCCCCTTCCGCCTCCTTGTATTATTGTAATTTACTTTGAACTTAAAAGTTCTGATCCTCTTTTATGTCTCATGTAGAAGCAGTTTTCATCGCATTTGTTCCTAAGTCTTTTGAATTCCAGCTTTGCCTTTTCAAAGCTTTTATTAATGCAGGGACCAGACAGTTTTTATACAGGCTTGGCAGCAAAAAAGAATAAGAAAACCCCTATGCAACTGAATCTTTTGTTCTCTGGGGTCCAGATCTCTCCACTCTCCTTTCAGCACCTCCTGAAAAGCATCAGAAGTGATGTGGTTGTATTTCGTAAGTTACAGTAAGGGTTTGTACTGATGCAGTTAGGAAGGGAATATTACAGAACCACCTCCCCTGGTTCTATGTCCAGTGCATATTTTTTCAAGCTGTGTGAAACTCTGCAGCCCATTTAGACAGTAGTCCTGACTTGGAGAAGTTGTGTCCAGGGCTGCAACAAAAGTTGTCTCAGGAGGGGCACATACTGGGGACAGATGTATCCCATGTTTCCTGGTGCTGAGGAAGAGGAGCATCTAGCTGAGGAAGGAATAGCACCTATAAAGAGCCCAAAGCTGGAATGTAGCAGGGAGACAGTCTAAAGGCTGGTAGGACCTGAGAAGAGAAGCACTTCCCTTGAGCAGAAGTGCCTTAACATCTAATTCTTTTGCTGTGACAGCATCTGTATTCTTTATGAACTTAACAGTCTCATTAGCAATTTCTAATGTACATAATATGTATTAGTATATCACAGCCTTTGAGAAGATTCAGAAGCCCTTTGAGACAGTAGGTAAGTGAAGAGAAGCCTTAGAAGGTGGACCAGTTTTTGACTTCCAAGCTTAACCAGCCAATTAATTTGCATGAAGTTGGAAAGACTTAAATCACAGTGATGATGTTTTGTATGTTGTAATTAGATGGGAAATTCCCTTACAGATTTAGAAAATCCTAAAATAATTAAAATAAAGATCATTTTATACCATACAGATTCACAAAACAATTTAATGTAATTTCTAGAGGATTTTATAGCATGGCTTAAATAACAAAAAGACTCTATTCACACTTGTCTGAGGACGTGGGTATAAATCACCAAATGTTGCTGGTCATCAGTGCTCACATCTCAAGCTCATGATGAAGTGCTGGGCTTTACAGCACAATCAAAGACTCACTATGTAAGATATGAGTGATTTTATTTTAATGTTTGATATTAATATTATTCTGTATATGTTCTGTTACAGATTACATCTTCTATTTTTCACAGCTATATGAGCCTGTAGGTCTTACAATAAAGTTTGGGGTCAATTAAAGCTGCTTCTTTAACATATACACTGCTCTAACAGACCCCAAACTATTGTGGGTGTGCAGGCCTTGCCAGTGTGTTCTGACCTTGACTATGCTTTAGTTCAGGCTTCATTTTTCTCCTTTCTGCATTTGCTTCCCCCCTTTAGAAACATTTCAATGCGTTGTGCAAAACTGCAAGCAAGTTCATCTTTGCAGGATTTTTCTAATGAGGAAACCCCCGAGAAGAACTCTCTAAAATCTGTGGTTTAGATTTCATTTTATTTCTTATCTTTTATGAACAAATTACGAAATATACTTCACAAATTGGAAATATTTACAATTTCTTTACAACAAGGCATTGTTGAGATTTTGATTTATAGCATTCTTAGAGCATTCTGTCTTTCAAAACAAAGACATTGGTGGTGTTTTCAGCACACTTCATTTACACTCTGAATGTGAAATGGGAGCCTTTTGGAAGAGTAATTTGCACTCTCTTTTGATAGGATCTACTGGGAAAATTGAGGCTGGCTGGGGAGAAGGACTGTGCAGATGTGTTGCTGGTACCATGCCAGATGATCTGACGCCATCATATTACACCAGATGCTGTTAAGTGGGGAGGAGAAAAAGATTCCCCTGAGCCATCCTTCCTCTGCTCTCTTCTCTTTAGAAATGCTGTGACAGGCTAAATGTAGCCGTTTGATTATTTTTTCCTTGGTTTTGAGTCTTTCTGAGAAGAAGAGTCTTGAGAAGTCTGTTTCAAATGCTGACAGAATTATGAAAAGTTATTCAGACAAAAAAAAAAAACAAACAGAGAGTAGCCAGGAAATTAATAAATACTGTATATCCTCAAAATGTTTAGGAGACAAATTTTGAACATGTTTCTAAAAGGAAAATGCAGCTGTCCTGTTCTGCAGTTGTAACATTGGAGCCATAAAAGCTAAGATAATTCTATTTTCTTGGAGTCTATATTTTTTTCCTGAAGAAAGTTCTAAACCCATTTCTTTCCATGGAACTTTTAAATATCTCTTAATATATACTTCCGTTATAAATCAGATGTGGGCCACCATTGCTTATGTTGTCTGTCATTTCCTGGAACAAGAACAGAAAAGACTGATCAATATTACAATTATGTTATGGTTTCTGAAATTCAATTAGATGAGTTTGTAAAAAAAAAAAATAATTAACAAACTCCAAATTTCAAACATTCAGAAAAAACTTTGCAACTTTTATTTGGCTTGATAAATCTCACTGTAAAAAAAGAACTCATGCTTCTTCCTATATAAATTAAATACATTTGAAAGCTGAGAGACCCATTGATACTGAATGAGTTGGACATTACTCTCAGACCACATATACAGCATTGATGGCATCTGTGCAAGTTTTGTGGCATTGTCCTTTGGAAGTGCATCAAATCAAGCTTGCGTGCTAATCTATAAAGGAAGAAGATGGTAATTAAGTGTTTGCTTCCATTCAAACCTTTTTCTGTGCTGACATGCTACGAACAGATGCCATTTGATGCTAGCTGGGGTAGACATTTAGGAAGTAGGTTTAAATCCAAACAGGATCTAAGGGGTTTGGGATGAAACTGATTTTGTTTCGCACTGAATATGCTGGACTACCATTTTAGCAGTTCAGCAATTGCTGCCCAAGTGGCAGATGAGTCATCCTCGAGTAAACTGACCTGATCATGAGTCAGAATCCTAAAGCACCTAAACGAAGATTTGTTTGCTGGGAGACAGCTATATTAATTAAGCAGTCCCCTGACCTTGAAGGCTGCTAAGCCACATGTGGTTTGTACTCAGAAGTGCCTTATTCTAAATGGTTTTAGGCTTATCTCATACCACACTGAATTTGGATGCAGAAATGATCTATTACCTATGTCCAATGACAGATCACAGAGAACATCCAGCTATGCCAAGAAGAATGGGCACATAGCAATGCAGTTTTTCTATTCTTTTAAAATTCAGGTAGATGAGGGAGAGGTGCCACTGTTGGACCTGTTCTAAAATATTTGCACGAGAACCAAAAGCTCTTCTCTGCATGAAAAGATTAATTTCACCTTTTCTACCTTCTAGGTACAGTTGGAGAAAATGTTGAAGAAAAAGGATTTGTTAGTCCTCCTTCTTGTGGAAATTGCTATGAAGAAAGTAAAGCAAGATTCATTGGGCTAAACAGAGAGAAAGACAGAAAGAGCCTGACTATAGAATAGCAGCTGAAATTCTTGGTAAAGAGAAGAAATTCTGGAACCGGATCATTATTTGTAGTCTGACTCTTTCTCTCTCTTCTTTTAATACATAATGTTTGATTTATAAATACTTTGGGAGGCAGGGACCAGAACTTAGAGTTTAGCATAAGATGGAAGCACTGGTGCCTTCTCCCTCATGTGCTACCTGCTACATTTTAAAGTAGATCACAAGACTTAATTATTCCCTCTACAGTTTTTTTAAAGAAAGGATGTCCTATTCCTCTTTACAAAGTAAACATAGGGCCATCAACCCAGATAGCCTTGCCAATTAATACTCTTGTGACAAGCATAAATTTCAGACAAAATAAGGTACTTAAAGTTATCAAATTTTGAGTGTTTTCAGCCACCCACCTCTTCTTTTGACAGATGATGGTGCTGGATTTTTTGTATGGTGCCTTGCAGCATTCTCATATACTGAAGAGGAACAATCGTACCTAATACCGAACTCTGAATCCCAGTCTGGGGGTTATCTGCTCTGAAACAAGGCACTATGTTTTGCTTATTTATAGGTGCTTAAGCTTTTGTTGCCATTATTGGATCTACGCTGAAGATATCAGTCAGCTAGGAAAGAGACCAGGAATACCAAAGCCATTTAATATTAACTATCAGTCAGATACATGTTAATAGTATTGATCTGTCAGAAGACTACTTGCAAGTACATGTAAGTTTCCTTTTGTCAGCTTCGTCACTTGAATCCTCTGGAGACATCAGCTATTAGTATATCATCATAGTTTCAGAAAATATTGAAAAACATTTATATTCCCCAGTATTTCTATTTACAAAAATAAATGTATTAATAAATTAAAAAATGTTGCTGAATTCAAGAAATGGAGGAGTACACAGGTTAGAAGCAGAGTGAGTCAATGATTGCACATCCAAATAGGAGCATTTGGATCTTTTACTAGGATGAATATTTTAAATACTCAACTTACTTCCAGACTGCAGCATTCACCACTTGGAATTATGTCACTACCTGGAAGCACCATTCCCAACTCAGAGTGGCATCACAGCATCAGCCAACTTTGATTAGCTGAAACTATGACTTCCTCTTAGAGGTGGCCCTTCCTGAAGTGACATAACAACATGGTAGCTCCCTAGTGTTCAGCGTACCTTGGAGGTAACTCTGGTGTCGGGGGAACCACCGGGCAGCTGGGCAGGTCGGTTATTTCAATACCCCTCAACCTCTAATATAAATATAACAATTATAAAATAAATATAGCACAAATAAATGCACATGCAGTACATGTCTATATTACTGTATATCTATTTAGTATAAATACATAAAATAGTCTTATATATAAAACATTTTAAAGCCATTTTCTACATCAGGGCCTGATTTAACGTAAGTTTTTAAGTAGTTTTCATTAATTTTTAGGGGCATGACTTGTGCTAATGTACTCAAACCCGCTAGCAGCAGGCAGTCCACAGGTTGTATATAGGTCTAAGAAGTCCCAGATCAGACCATCTACACATGCATACTTGAATCTACAACACACTTGCACGAAGTCCTCCATTGGTGGGGCACATCCCACATTCACTGAGCATGTGCCATAAAGTTGCTCTGCACGTGCATCATGGCCTGTCACCCAAGATAAGTGGGCATCTGGCAGTCCTCTCTAGTATGTGTCTAAAAGCTCAGTAGGTTAAAACAGTCCAGGAAAGGAGGCAGCGAACTGTTGCTATACTTGGTCATCTTCAGCCCAAATTGGTAGGGTTGGCAGGTGTTTTTCTTCCCAGGCCATTTCTTTGTTAGTTTCTCTTTTTATTTCAAATGGGCTTCATCTTTGTCTTTGTTGAGGAAAGAGCCTCTTTGAAAAGCAAGATCTAACCTACCATCTGTAAGACAATAGTCATACTTGCCTACATAGCTGACTAGAATTCTGCTTCTTTTTAAAATGAGAGTGAGAAATGTATCATCTCTTCTCTTGATTTTATCACTCTGTGTTATAGTTTTAGCCTGTACTATTAAACTTTTAAAACTACATTTCATACACCTAAGGTAAACTCATTTTATGTTTCTACTTGGAGTCTCATGACAGTTAAGAAACCAAAGGATAGTGGCAAGTAATTTTTTACTTCATGGAATATTAACTGCTATGTCATGTTTTGTCAGAGAATCTGGAAGCATTCTACATTCTGAGTGAATTAATCCTCAATCTGCTATTCAGAAGATATGATAGAGACAGTTGAATTTAACTGTAATGCAAACTTGCACTTGGAAGTTCAGTTGGGCAGTCCGCTTGACTTTTGTTCCCTTCTCTACTCATTTCTCAAATGAAAGTCATTGCATACAAAGTCCAAATGTAAAGCACAGGGTGTCAGTTAAAATTTTACTCCTCAAATATTAGATCTGTAAATCCAATGAGCTGATTTCAAGAATTCTACTAAATTAATTTTCTGACCCTATTTGCGTAGTTTCAGGAGCTTAAGTTTCAGAACCTAAACATAGACCTAGACACCTTGATAAGCTTATTTTTAACAGAGAAAGGCAGTAAATGCTCAGTGGTGCTGCAAATCAGACCAGTTTCATTTAGGTATCTAAATATGCCCTTAGGTGCTTAGGTTTAGTCATCCAGGCTTGTGAACTGTGGCTTTTGTGTTTAAATAACCTACTTTATAAGCTGAGCAGTTAGGAGAGGAAGACATTGATTAAATCCTGGAAGTGTGCAATGATGTGGTTACAGAAAGCCTTCTGTGCTTTTTCACAGTACAATACATGATAACCATATTAATAAAGATTCACATTATTTATGAAGTGCTATATTTAGCAGCTAAACCCTTGAATAGCTATATGATGGAATTATGTTGAAAATGGATGTACTTCATTGAAATGGATGTACTGCACACTACCTAAAAATAGCTCTGTATAATGCAACATAATAAAGCTTACACAGAATGGCAGAATTTCATTTCCCAGAAGCTCTTATATAAAACTGAAAACTGAGCACATCTCTTGCCCATTGTAAATGTTAACACATACAGTAGCATTTTAGGAGAAGCGAAACAAGTAAGGGAGGACTCACAACTCACTTTTTCTGCCATTTCATGGGAGTGATGCAATGAATGTTCTCTTTCTGAGAACATTCGCCTTTGTTCATAGCTGGCTAGCCGACAAGTGAGCCATGAAGAAAGGGTGCAACCACCAATTCCAATGCATGCAAGAGACATGGAGGCAAGATGCAAAGAATAAAGAGCAGACGACTTCTTTGTCAGAGCACGAAGAAATTGAAAATTTAAGATTCCTCCGATTAGTCCACAGATGCAACAGGCAGAAAAAAGTATCATCTGTCAGGAAAGATGAGAGAGGTTATGTCATAGTAACATTTTTCAGAGACAGATTCATTCATATGAAAAATGAGACTAACCGTAATTCAATGTTTCAACAGCATCATGATCTGTAAAACACTGCACAGACACTCATTTTTAACGTTCTCTGCTCCCGCGGAGCTCCAAGGGAATACAATACCTTCTGGTGTACTAGAGTTAAGATTGATGTTGCATGTAAGATAAAGTTGGGTAGAATGAGTTTGTCATGAGTTTAGTCAATGGAAGAACTAGTAGGACACAAATCTTTTGATTTCTAGCAATTCATCCAAAACTATATCATGACAGAATATGTCATAATTTTCCATTGTGCAGTTTCTCACCACTCCTCAGGGGTGAATGCCTCATGCATTTTCAGTGAATCTCTCTTGCTTTGTGTGCCATCTGACTCTACCTCCTGTTCAGTTCTAAGTTGTTCAGTCAGAGAGCAGTTTGAAGGCTTTCTACAGCTTTTGTGGGGACTTCAAAAGTGTTCAAGGTGAGCATGCTAGACAAAGAAGCAAGAGAAGCAACGAAATCTTACAGAAGGTCAGTGTGCTGACTATGTGATAGTTTGCTTGGTTTTTTTAACTTGGTTAAAATGTTTCTGGAAACTTTAGAAGGATGTGATACAGGCTGTGGTTAATGAGATATGTTTGAAGACCTCCTAACACTTTAATCAAAAAGATGCCACCCTGGTTCACGATGTCCTTGAGCCATAAATGACTCTAGAGCGAAAGACCTTTATTATGAAGGTACTGCTAAACTACTGTCTTACTCACTTCCTTTGAAACTGCTGGCCTGTCAGATGTAGATCTAGATGGGTCTTTGATGTCACTCAATATGGCTTTGTCTATATACGTGTTTACTGTGGTAGGAAAAATTTATGAAGCCTTAGAGACCACTTCTGTACATAACTGGGATAAGAGTTTTGTCAGGCATATGGCAGTCAGACTATATGCTGCAGTCCACTGGGAAGTGATTATTTTATGAGACCATGAGACAGTCAGCTTTTAGAAACTGCTTATGGTCCATATGCTTTAAGAAATGAGATTGACATTGTAACAGGGTTAGGATAACTCAGTGATATTCAGAAATTATCTGAGAGAGATCTTGATTCCCTTCACACTTGTGCTGGTTTTATGTGACTTCCATCTGTATATGGTGGAATAATCAAGCTGGCAGAAAATTGCACCAGATATCACTTATAATAGGATCATGTATTTAACATGAACTTTTGCTACGACTTGTGAATAACACTGTTTTTCAGCAGTCAGAAAAATTACTGCAATTCTGATTCTTAGAAGAGACAGAAAACATCCACCAACACTTTAAAAACTGGCTTATATGTGATTCTGATTGCAAAAAGAACTTATTCAGTGAACAGCTATGATATCTAAAATCAAACTTTGACAGTAGCCTCACTGATGTGGCAGCCCACTAGTGGCTTCTGAAGGACAGAAGATACAATCCAGTGACATTATTGAGGAACTTCTGTAGGTATGTAGTGAATAAAAGACAGACTAGGGACAAAGTAGGCCCCCTCCAGAAGCTAAAGGGAGAACTGGCTACCCTGGATTTGGAGAAGGCTGAGGTTCTCAATGACTTCTTTGCCTCGGTCTTCACTGGCAAAGGCTCTGACCGCACCACCCAAGTCTTGGAAGGCAAACACAGGGACTGTGAGAATGAAGACCCTAGGCCCACTGTAGGAGAGGATCTGGTTCAAGACCATCTTAAGAACCTGAACGTGCACAAGTCCATGGGACCTGAGGAAAATCTCTGTGGGTCCTGAAGGAGCTGGTGAATGAAGTTGCTAAGCCGCTGGCCATCATATTTGAAAAATCATGGCAGTCACGTGAAGTTACCAATGACTGGAAAAAGGGAAATATAACCCCCATTTTCAAGAAGGGGAAAATGGATGACCCGGGGAATTACAGACCAGTCAGTCTCACCTCTGTGCCTGGCAAAATCTTGGAGCAGATTCTCCTGGAAGGCATGCTAAGGCATATGAAAAACAACAAGGTGCTTGGTGACAGCCAGCATGGCTTCACTAAGGGGAAATCCTGCCTGACCAGTTTGGTGGCCTTCTATGATGGAGCTACAGAACTGATGGACAGGGGTAGAGCAGTTGTTGTCATCTACCTGGACTTGTGCAAAGCATTCAACGCTGTCCCACATGTCATCCTTGTCCCTAAATTGGAGAGACATCAATTTGATAGGTGGACCACTCGGTGGATAAAGAACCGGCTGGATGGCCGCACGCAAAGAGTTGTGGTCAATGGCTCAATGTCCATCTAGAGACCAGTAACGAGTGGTGTCCCTCAGGGATTGGTGTTGGGACCAGTCTTGTTCCACATCTTTGTAAGTGACATGGACAGTGGGATTGAGTGCACCCTCAGCAAGTTTGCCAATGACACCAAGCTGTGTGGCTCAGTTGATACCCTGGAGGGAAGGAATGTCATCCAGAGGGACCTTGACACGTTTGTGAGGTGGGCTGATGCCAACTGTATGAAGTTTAACCATGCCAAGTGCAAGGTCCTACACCTGGGCTGAAGCAATCCCAGGCACAGCTACAGGTTGGGCAGGGAAGAGATTCAGAGCAGCCCTGCGGAGGAGGACTTGGGGGTGTTGGTTGATGAGGAAATGTACATGAGCTGGCTTCAGTGTGTGCTCGCAGCCCAGAAAGCCAACTGGGCTGCATCAAGAAGAGTGTGACCAGCAGGTCGAAGGAGGTGATCCTGCCCCTCTACTCTGCTCTCGTGAGACCTCATTTGGAGTACTGTGTACAGTTCTGATGTCCTCAACATATAAAGGACATGGAACTGTTGGAACAAGTCCAAAGGAGGGCCACGAGGATGATCAAGGGACTGGAGCACCTCCCCTATAAAGTCAGGCTGAGGAAGTTGGGGCTGTTGAGCCTGGAGAAGAGAAGGCTGCATGGGGACCTCACAGCATCCTTCCAGTATCTGAAGGGGGCCTATGAGGATGCTGGGGAGGGACTCTTCATTAAGGACTGCAGTGATAGGACAAGGGGTAACGGTTTAAAACTTAAACAGGTGAAGTTTACATTGGATATAATGAAGAAATTCTTTCCTGTTAGGGTGAGGCAGTGGAATGGGTTGCCCAGGGAGGTTGTGAATGCTCCATCCCTGGTGGCGTTCAAGGCCAGGTTGGACAGAGCCTTGGGTGACATGGTTTAGCGTGAGGTGTCCCTGCCCATGGCAGGGGGGTTGGAACTAGATGATCTTAAGGTCCTTTCCAACCCTGACTATTCTAACTTTTTATTGACTTGGAATAAATTTCTGTCAGATGTTTTTCCATCCAAGTTTATCCAGACTGGTATATGTAGGAATGCATGGCTTAAAGAGGTATGACCCAAATAGGCCATTTCAGAACTGCCTTGTGTGTTTGATTAATGCAAAGTGCTGTTTGCTTTTTTGGACTGACGAGTTGCAATTGTACAGACTTTTTATCAGAAACACTTGGACACAGAAAGCCCACAGGAGAAGTATTTCAGGTTAGATAAGTATGCCTTTCTATATATACTTAGGTATTGTATATGCAGTGGAAAAACTTACAACAAGTCCAGATTTTTTTTTGGCGCACAGTATTCCACATATGCCACAAAGCAGAAACTGCAAAGAAAGAAAAAGCAAAAACAAAACAAGAGTTATTTCATCATTTAAGGTCTCAAGTTTAAATGCTGCTGAATTGCTGTAGTGATGACCACAACAGTAGGTTAGGCAGTGGTTACAGTTGTCAGCATTTTTATCACAAACCTTATATTTCAGGAAGCTATAACTGAACCATAAACGCACTTATCTGAGAAGAAGAAACTGGAATGAGAAGCCAGATTAAAGATGATTACTCATACAAAAAGAAAAAAACAAAACCTACTTTTAAGCTGCTTGGGTAAACAAAATATGAAAAAAAACCCTCAAAACAAAACAAAATCAATGTTGCAAGCAAAAGATGACTTTTTACTCTTTTGGGGTTTGTTTAGATAAGTTTAGCAAGTTTTAGTCAGTGATCCAAATCACCTACTTTCAAGCTGTTGATGTACTTAATGCCCCGATCCTACTATCTGAACCACCAAGGGATCATACATGGATTGTTGGAACTCTGGGCAAGAATGCAATTCATTCACCTCTGTCGGTGTAGGTGTAAAGTACTAGTGCAGCTACGCTGAGCATGCAGGAAAACCTTTTTCTACATAGCTCACTTTGTATGAAGGTATCTGGACCTTTTCATGTAGTTCCCTTTCACAAGCTGATGTACTAATTGTTGCATCAAGCATTAAAAAAACTAATTAACAAAACCAGAAACGTCCCTAACAATGATGTTAATGCTTTTTAGTGACCTGCATCGAAGATGGATGACATTCTCTGAACGTCTCTTTGTCCCTGAACAAAAAAGTTTAATGAGGGAGTCAGAAGGTAGTCCCTGAGGAAGCAGTTGTGGTAGGAATTAAAGCAGTCGGATGAAAGCAGTAAAGCCTTCTCCAGGTGTTTATAATAGTGTCAGAAGATGTCTTTGATACTTTATGAACTTCTTTATTAAAGAAATCTGTGCTTCTTATTTTCAGTAAATCTAACCCTATGCCCTTACTGGGACTTAATTTTATAGCTTTGAAAATGGATTTTCCCACATTCATTCTGCATGGAGGTGGTGATTCTAGCAAAAGGCCCTGCTTGACCTTGATTTAGGGTTAAATCACTGAACAGACCTGACTGTTACATAAGAAAAAAAAAAAATTATGCCGTTTCTATACATCATTCAGGATTTCAGGATCCTTGTAATATATTGCCTGCACCTCACATTTACTCTCCAGAATTTGAAACTTCAGTATCTCATTTGAGGTGGTGCTTTACTACATAGTTTATCTCCCTCCAACTAAAGTAGTTCATGCATACAGCTAAGAATAAACCTTAACATATATTTTTACTCTTAGGTCCATTGAATCAGTTGCACACAATGAATATGGATAAATTTTGTATATTACTTACTTCTACACTAAGCATGGGATGTGAACTTCATACCAGTCTGATTACGGAGAGGGCTGGGTCATGTAGACCATGGTGCTGAATGGATCAGGACATACCAGGGCATACAACTGGTACTTGCTACTACAGCTCACCTATTGGAAAAACAATCAAAAAGCCCACAGGTAGGGCTTCAAGCCAATAGGTAGGGCTTCCTCTACCCCTTTCTGACAGGAAGGAGAGATTTCAGTTCAGAAATATCAATCCTGAATTGTAAGTTTTCACTCAAGGTTTCTGTGAGGTTTTGGAGTTTCACTCCCAGTTGTGCTATTGCAGATTGATTTCAACTGAAGGCATGCTTCAGATTTTCACATGTAACTTTTTTTATTTCTCAGCATTAATGCAGAAAACTAAAAAAAAAAAAGGCAAAGATATCACTGTAATTATGTTCTCTTCTGTCAGACTTGATAAAGCAGATGATTAATAACATAATTTTTCTTTGTAGTGATTGAATAACATTGAGAATTGTGTATAGAGAAAAATTAATGAGTTCTGCAGAGCTTAATGAAAGGACGTGGAAGATACTATCAAAGCTAGTTTCAACTTGTAATAAGTGCATGTTAACTAGTTTACAAAGCTGTGGTGTTGATGATTTACCTTCAAAGCTGAAATAATAGGTCACCCATCTCTTCAAGGATGCTCTAATTCTGATCCTGTTAGAGTCAATGAATTTTTTTTACCACTGTTTTCAACTGAAGAAGACTTTCTATTTCCACTGTACAGTTTTGCTAGACAGAAGGGAATGCAGTTGACAAGTTATAGTAGCTTTGCATATGACCAAAGGAGCAACATGCAAATTACAGATTCACTCAGCATTAGAACTCACCAGTTTTGGCAGTTTTGCTGTTCCTTACTGTTTTTCAAGGACAGAAAATGCATCCTTCCAAACCACCATTATGTAGTGCCGTATACTTGTATATTACCAAAGGTATTTCGCAGTTGAAATCCAAAGAATAGTGAATGAGCTAATCTGCAGGCCCTAAGGTACTGGCTTCTCAAAAACAAGGGGTGACTACTATATTCCCTAGTTGTCAAAGTATTTGAAGGGCTAAGTGGAGTAAAGATCTGGACACAGGAGTTGAACGTACATTAAGTAAGTTTGCCGATGATAGTAAACTAGGAGGAGCTGTGAACACCCTCAAAAGTAGAGAGGCCTTACAGTAAAAGTAGAGAGACTGCAGAGGTGGGCAATCACCAACCATATGAAATTAAATAACATAAAGTGCCAGATTCTGCACCTAGAATGAGGTAATCCTTCTTATACATAAATATTGCAGGAAAAGAGGATGGAGACAGACCCATGAAAAGAGATCTGAGGATCTGGCTTGATGATAAGTTGAAAAGACAATGGTGTGCCTTTTAAGACAAAAAGACCAACAGTGTCCTAGGGTGCATCAAGCACAGCACAGCTAGCCAGTTGAGGGATTAACCCACAATATATTGCATTGGTACTGCCCCACCTCAAGTACTGTGTGTAGTTTTGGGTGCTTCAAATATAAGAAGGACATGAAATTATTAGAGTGTGTCCAGAGAACAGTGACCAAGATGATGAAAGGCCTTAAGGGAAACTTATGAGGAACAGATGAGGTCTTGGTTTGTTCAGCTTGGAGAAGAGAAGGCTGAGGGGTGCCCTCACTGCAGTCTACACCTTCCTCAAGCGGAGGAGTAGGTGTTGATCTCCTCCCTCTGGTGACCAACTATAGGACCCATGGAAACGGAATGAAGCTGCATCAGAAAAAGTTCAGGTTGGACATTAGGAAGAGGTTCTTCAACTGGGAGAGTGGTTGGTTACTGGAACAGGCTTCCCAGGAAAGCGATCATAGCACCAAGACTGTGGGGGTTCAAGGAGTGTCTGGATGACACTTTTGGTCATATAATTTAGTGTTAGGGGGTCCTGCGAGGAACATGGAGTTGGACTTGGTAGGGAATTATGGGTCCCTTTCAACTGGAGATAATCTATGATTCTGTGATTCTATGATAATATTTTACTGTGTCAGGGCCTGTATGTATACCTTGTGTGTATTATCTCTCTCTGTACATATGCAATATTTATACAGATACGCAAGGAATAAGGTGTCCTTTAGTTAAAGAACTCAAGAGGGAACTAACTGCAATTATTCTCTTATAGAAACAGATACTTCACTGCTGGACTTTTGTTTTAATTATTTTTCATTAGAAAAACCGTGAGGCTAAAGGTCCAAAATCTCATAGTTCACTCTTTACAACCAGTCCCCATTGCATCTGGGGTTACTTTCTGATTTCAGACTTATTCATACCTCCTACGCTACATGATGTTTCATATCAAGACTAGCAAAGGAGGTAGGGACTTTATGTATTATCCAATAATAAATACAGGCAGAATCAGTTTTAGGCGATTGGTAAAAACGTCAAAGAAGATACTACAAAGCACAAAGGCTACTTAAAGACTCAGGGGGCTGTGTGTGCCTCAGTTCCTCTTTCAGTAAGGATTTGCCAGAGACCTAGCAGAGTCAGAGTCCCTCTGATAGCACTGGTGTGATTTTAAGGTGATACAGTAGTGTCTGTTTCTCTCTGGAGTCTTTGACATTCATGCTGCAACTGTGCCTGTTTACGTTCAATATGCATATTTGAAAAACTATCTTTTGGTCTGTTGAACTTTGGAACCAAAGATCTCCCAGAAAAGGAGAAGGTTTATTTTGAGCCTGCTTTAATTTACTTTATATTAAATATGGGCTTGAAACAAAACCTCAGATCAAAATACCTAGAAATTTCAGTAAGGAGGCTGAAATGTCAATTCAGATTCAAGTTTTATTGTTTGGATCCATCCTTACTTTATATTTTCTGGAACAGAAGACTTGACCTCTTGCACTTTCTCCTGGAAAAAAGGGGCTTTCTTACTGGTAGTCTGAAAAAAAGACTCAGTTTTACTTATATTTGCAGAAAGCCAGAGATTTGTTGGTTTCCATCATGCAGAAGAAAAAGAACTATTTTTATTTTATATATTGACTCTAAGAAACCTTTATTTCTTCTGTTTTGAAGAGGCAAAAGCAATAGTGTGTGCAATTCCCTGGAAAATGAAAACTGCCTCTATAGAAAATCTTTCTGGAGAAAGGCTCAAGAAAACAGTAGAGAAAACCAGTTGAATATACTTGATCCCTAGTCTTTGTTCATGATAAAGAAGCCCAAACCACATACTCTGTGGAAAGCTTTCCAGTGTTCTGGGTCATCCATATGTATCTGATGAAATAGAGGAAGGGAAAATATTCTAAATTTGAATAATAATACAGTGAAAATACAAGTGTATCATGTCTATTCAAATAATCTTCTACTTGGAAGAATAAGCATCAGGACAAAATCAACAGTTTTACTCCTATCTACTCTTGTCAGGTTTAGTTTTACACTAAAATTGTATAAACATGTGACTGTCATGAGAATTCCCAGGATTTTGAAGTTAGAAATATTTAGAAAGAACCATTCAATTTAATAATCTTGCTACTTTAACTCCATCCAGATGAGAAAAAAGCTGAAATCCCTAATGGATGAACAGAGCAGAGGAAGTATCTCTAATTGTAACTCTTCTTCGAGGCAGTATTTCAGAACAAGAATTAAGTTTT